TTTCCTGCTTTTTGACGTCTTTTTCTGAATGAAAACGGAGTCAAAGGGCCGTTTAATCCGGTTTGTTTACGTTGCCCTAAAGGGGAGGCTTTCTGAGACCCGCTGAGGAAGTGGATGAGGAGGACCGGGGCCTGATTTGAGTCTGATCGGTGCCTTTATCGATCCGTTTCCCGTATCTTTTTCTCTCTGACTCTTTGCGGCTCAGCTGGGCCGTGACGTCACGCCCTGCCCCGGTCTCCATGTTTGGATCTGAGCGGCTCCGCCCGGGAACCGGGAACCGGGAACCAGGGACCGGGGACCGGGGACCGGCGGCCCCCCGGGGCCCCAGTTCCCGGTCCCCGGTCCCGGGACCGATGCCTGGCTGACAGCTGTCCCAAAATCGCTGATTCACGGCCGGCCGGCCTCTTTCTCTCCGCCTTACGGTCCACCGGACGTCATTCTCCGTTCATTCCGCCTTAAAAAAACAAACCGCCCGTTTTCTCCGCCTCCGCCGGTTTGTAGCTTCGCGGTTCGAGTCTGAACGAGTTTTTTAAACCTCCGTGGAGCAGTTGGAGGCCCGGTAAATCGGTGATTTTCCCCCTACCTTGCCCAGTCTCCTGGTTGAAGTCATTGTGGTGCCGATCTGATGTTCTTCTTCTTCTTCTTCTTCCTGTTTCTGTCCGGGACTCGCTCCCGGAGCTCTTTGGCTCCGTTTGAGGCGGAGTCCGCACTCAGCGGCGCCCCCTGGCGGCCGGAGGCCTCACAACACGCTGCAAACAGGGGAGACGGGGTCAGAAAACTAAAACATTGCAAGAAAACAGGGAAAGAAACAGTTACAAAAAAAAAAAACACCTTAAGAAAACAAGGGAAGAAACATTTACCCAAATAAAACACTGAGAAAACAAGGGGGAATAGAAAAACACTGTAAAAAAAACGAGGTAAACAACATTTACCAGAAAAACCCCTGTAAGAAAACAAGGTAAAAAACATTTACCAGAAAAACCCCTGTAAGAAAACAAGGTAAACAACATTTACCAGAAAAACCCCTGTAAGAATACAAGGAAATAAACATTTGACAAAATAAAACACTGAGAAAACAAGGGATGATACATTCCATAATATAAAAACACTGTAAGAAAACAAGGAAAGAAACATTTACCAAAAAATAAATATAAAAAAAACAAGGGATGAAACATCCCAGAATACAAAAACACTGTAAAAAAAAACAAGGTAAACAACATTTACCAGGAAAACCGCTGTAAGAAAACAAGGTAAACAACATTTACCAGAAAAACCCCTGTAAGAATACAAGGAAATACACATTTGACAAAAAACACTGAGAAAACAAGGGATGATACATTCCAGAATACAAAGCATTGTAAGAAAACAAGGTAAACATCATTTACCAGAAAAAATACACTAAGAAAACAAGGAAAGAAACATCCCAGAATACAAAAACACTGAAAGAAAACAAGGATAGAAACATCCCAGAATACAAATACACTGAAAGAAAATAAGGTAAACAACATTTACCAGAAAAAAACACTAAGAAAACAGGGGAAGAAACATCCCAGAATACAAAAACACTGAAAGAAAATAAGGTAAACAACATTTACCAAAATAAAACACCGTTAGAAAAACAAGGAAAGAAACATTTCAGCAAACAAAAACACTGTGAAAAAACAAGATTTACCAAAACACACGAATTCTGTTATAAAAAAGATAATCAACATTTTGAAAAACAAAATAAAGCAGAAACACTGTCAGAAAACATAATTTAATAACACAAAAACACCGTTACAAAACAAGGTAAACAACA